GGACTCACTTGGTAGCCCAGGCTGGCCTCAAACTCACAGAGATCCACTTGGCTCTGCCTCCCGAGTGCCACCACTGCCCGGCCGGCTTTTTTTTTTTTTTAATCAGGTTTCTGTAACTGCTGGCCATGACAACATCTGTGCCTGACAGGTAGAGCCCTGCATGATGATGTCATCGATCTCCTCGAGGGAGTGCTTCAACAATGTTAGGCAGCTTAGGGATACTGTTAGTACAGTGTCGTGTGCTTGGTACCTTAGCCCACAGAAATCGATTCTCTGACATTTCTGGAGGGTAGAAGTGTCTGGGGAGGGCTGTCCTCCTGACTTTCAGCATCTGTCTGTGTCCTCGTGTTTGGTGCTTACATGGAGGTATGGCATGAGGCAGGAGCTGTCTGGTATCTGTGTTCCTAAGACCCCATATGGTCTATTTTCCTATCAGCTCAGGGCTAATCTCAGAGACCTCATTCCAGCCACACTAAAGTTTAGGACTGCCAAACATGACTCTGTGAAGGACACCAATGTTCTTATCACTACACATGTTGCCCACAGCACAGTGGGACAGAGGGTCATTTGGGCTGTAGTCTCCAGCTCTAAGTAGAGCACCTGTCTGTAGCTGAAGTTACCCTGTTCCTGCGTGGCTCCCGCAGCCCTCAGACCCAAGCAAACACACAGAGACTTATATAATTTATAAACTAGCCTAGTGGCTCAGGCTTCTTGTTAGCTGTTCTTATATCTTAAATTAACCCATTTCTATAAATCTATACCTTGCCATGTGGCTCGTGGCTTACCCATACTTTACATCCTGCTCCTCATGGTGGTGGCTGGCAGCATCTCTCTCTGCCTCAGCCTTTCACTACCCAGAATTCTCCTCTCTCTTTGTCCTGCCTACACTTCCTGCCTGGCTCCTGGCCAATTAGCATTTTATTTATCAACCAGTCATCCACAGCACCTGTCAATGCTGACTGTTAGAGTTCTACCACTGAGGTTCCCCTTTAGAATGAGGAAAGAGATTGAGGATCTTTCTTTCTTTCTTTCTTTCTTTCTTTCTTTCTTTCTTTCTTTCTTTCTTTCTTTCTTTCTTTCTTTCTTTCTTTCTTTCTTTTTTTCTTTCTTTCTTCCTTCCTTCCTTCCTTCCTTCCTTCCTTCCTTCTTTCCTTCCTTTCTTCCCTTCTTCCTTTCTTCCTTTCTTTCCTTCTTAAGACTTATTTATGGATGTGAGGGCGATCTGGCTGCAACATCTGTCGCCCCATTGATCGCCAGGGTTGATTCGGCTGATCTGGCTGGCCAGGCGGGTATCCCCTTCCTCCTTCACTGCTCCATGTGCGTTCCTCCCAAAGCTGCGTGCTTGGTCGAAGAGGACGACCTTCCCCGAATAGAGGAGGACCGGTCTTCGGTCAAGGGTATACGAGTAGCTGCGCTCCCCTGCTAGAACCTCCAAACAAGCTCTCAAGACTTATTTATTATATATACAATATTCTGCCTGCAGGCCAGAAGAGGGCACCAGATCTCATTACAGATGGTTGTTAGCCACCATGTCCTTGCTGGGAATTGAACTCAGGACCTCTGAAGAGCAGCCAATGCTCTTAACCTCTGAGCCATCTCTCCAACCCCCAAGGAGCCATTTCTTTTAGGTAACCAGAAGTGGAAATAAAAAAAAGGAAGGCAGTACAAAGGAGGTCCTAAGAGGGAGCCAGGAAAAATCCTATGTGATTTTTATCTGTCCACCATGTCTGTGCACACCTACTCCCCACCCCCAAGTAAAGAGGCTTTTTCGCTTTGGTACAGAGTCTTACATAAGGCGCTATGGCCTGGGAGTGGAAGCTATGCCAGACCTGCTGTTGTGCTCCCAAAATTCCCAATAGCCAAAAAAACAGAACCAGTCTAGATGTCTGTCAACAGGCGAGGGGATAAAGAAAACATGGCACAAACACACAATGGAATTTTATTCACCTATCAAAGAAAAATGAAATCATGACATCCTGTAGGAAAATGGATGCAGCTGGAAATTGTCATATACACTATTTCTTTCATATGGGATCCTAGATGTTTCCTTACTAACATGTGTAGAGGTAGGTATGAGAACAGCTCAGGAAATTAGAAGGGGGACCAGAGGAGGGAAGAGGAGGTCTTTAGCTGGGGAAGAGGGTAATAGAATATAGACTACGGCATCAAAACAAAAGAGGAACTCCCAGGGGAAGGATGGTGACCAGGGGGAGGGGAAGGGAGGGAAGAGGGTCAATGGGAGCAAAGTCTGTGGAAATGCTGTCATGAAGTTTATTACCCTGTATGCTAACTTTAAAAACTAATTAAAAAGGAAAGAAAAAATAGTGAAAGGAGACTTTATAGAAAGTTCACAAAACTTAAAGAGAAACTTACTACACATGAGATATATCCCAGGCTGTGAAGTAGAGGAGGAAATCAAAGGCTTAAAAAAAAAGCCTTAATTTTAAAAATTAGGGACACAAATTTTAAAATATTAAGCAGTTTTATTACTATAAATGTTAATTTAATGTGAAGTTTAATTATACTAAATATTAATGAATCAAATCAGTTAATATTGGAATTTAAATGTTAATGCATTAATATTATTCACGTAAAAATATAATCAGAATTTATTAAAAAACCAGGGATTATACCATTTTAAAATATTGATTTCATTAATGTAAACTTTTAATAATATTAAAAGAATTAGTCACAATTAATTAAAATTTAGAATAACTTTTAAAGCATCTTGTTGTTTAAATATGGGGGGGGGGTGGCATTGGAAGAGATAATTCAATTGCTAAACACACTTGCTATGTAACTCTTGTGATTGAGTTTGAATCCCAAAAAACATGTAACAATCTGGGAGTAGTCTAACACATGTCTGTAATCCTGGTCCCAATGCAGAGGCAGAGGAATGACTAGGGCTTTCTGGCTGCCAGCCTAGCCCAAACACATGAGCTCCAAGTTCAAGGAGAGACCATACCTCACAGGAGTAAGGACTGTGGTTATGTCCTATCTAATTTACTCCATACTGGACAAAGTGGTTGTTTCTCAGGCTGTGCCTAGGGGATTCCATTTTAAAAAGAGCTTTTGACTCCATTTGGAGGGAGAAAGATGACTCTGTCCCCCGTGGACCCAGAAACTGCACCATCCAACGGACTGATAAATGAAAAATTCCCAGGAATGGAAATAGTGCCGCTCCGTAAGTTTACTGGGGTAGACTGAGACTATCGGAGGACATGGGTATATCAAAATCATATCAGGAAGCTGTGGTTTCTAACTGCTATCCATGTATATCGGACACACTAAAAGGCACTGATAAAAGGCTACAACTCCCTCTCCTAGACCTCATAAAGTGATGAACACCCACCACTGTGATGGAGTGGCCCCACATCACCTGATACTTGGGGTGTGTGTCAAGGACCAACAAGTGGAGGTCTGTTTAGCTGACCCTGGCGCTTCAGCTTGGCTTTGGGGCCCTGTCTGTTGATGCAGCCCACTTGACCACCTACCCATCTACTTGCTCATCGGTCTGGACCTAGCCCCGAACCCGCTGTTCCCTTCTGTCAACTGTGGTTCAAGTTTTCATCTTGCCACTGGATTTCCCAGCTTTGCTCCCAAAACCTGACTCCACCAGTACCAGCATGGTCCATGGCTGGCACAGGTTTGGTTCATTATCTTATCAATATAGACTCTCATTCTATTCCTGAAAACTTCTGAACTCTGCTATAGCCTTTTTTTAAAAAACATGCTTCATTCTGTAAACCAAATACACACACATATATAGACATATTACTGTGTGGTGTGTGATATGAGAACTAATATTAGTAATTAAGATTGAAATAAAAGAACCTACATTCACCTTGGCCAGATCACCAAAGTAGGTGGGACTCTATGACAGATTGCTATTGAAATTGCTGAACCTTGTCAGTTTACTGTTTAATAAATTCTGATATTACGGAAAGACACACATGTGTTCCTCTCTGCTTCTGGCATAGTATGCTAACAACAAAGTGATGGAGGACTCTTGAGGTCCTTCTCTGGTCTCTGTGCTGTGCACCCACATGCATGTGCATGTGTAAACACCCTCCCACCCCACCCCACCCCACCCCCATGCACATGCATGCATACACACACACACACACACACACACACACACACACACACACACGTGCGTGCACGCATGCACACACAAATTCTTCCTGGGTCTAGTATCAACATCTGTAATCCCAGCACTCAAAAGGCCAACGCAAGAAAATCTTTAAATCACGGCCAGTGTGGGCTACACAGTGATTTCAAGGCCATTTTAACTTATGTGCTTTTCCGAGGAATCCTGATTCTGCAATGATAGTGGTGAGTCCAAGGCAGGTCCTTGGAGTTGTCATGGAGACATGCCTAGGTGTTGCTGTGATGTCTTCTAAGCCTGAGACCACCTCAGTGATGCTCAACTGGCTCTTTAATTTTCTTTGAACAGTCTCCGTTTGCTGTTTGCTAACATGTGGGCTTTGCCCACCGTCTAATTACAACATTCCATCATTACAGAGGGTGAGTCTGCACTAGCAATTTGAATGAAAGGCAATGTTTTACACTGACGTTTTAATTAGTGGAACTCACTGTCATAAAAATCTCTGTGAGATGGTACTGATTTACAAAACCGGGTATCATGTCTTTCATGGAGCCTGGCATCTGTGTACAATTGACCAATTTATTAGATGCATGTGGGTTCATTGATTTTTCTAGACAGAAAATAATTGGACTGTGGTTTCTAACTGCTATTTTCTTCCAGATGATCATGTTGGCACACATAAAAATTCCCTGTGCTCACACACTAAAGAAACTGAGTTTCTACAGTGTGGACCAGTGGCTGAATTAGAGTCGGGCCTTTTCATTTTATTTCTTCTTTCCTAAGCTCCTCTTCTGAGGTGCTGCTGCAAACCGTTTTGAAGGTTGTTCCCATCGAAGGAAATTCCCTCATAAAAGACTGCTTACTTTTCAGAGTAGATATCGCAGCAGCCTAGCATTAGCCCATAAAGGATTTGTTAGAAGTGACTTTGATTTACAAGTATGCTGAATGGAGAGACATTTATTGACAATATTGGGACCATTTTCAAGGCCAAAATGACTTTCAGAAAATATTCTTTGTGCTTTGTTGCAGTTGTGGTTTGAATGGGTTTGTTCTACAAAATGTAGACACAATGTTCAAGCCCAAAGCTACACAATGAACAGAATGGTTTTATCTTCTTCCTTGCATAAAATTTGATGGAACACACAGGGTAAGGTAGATGGCATGCAACACACCAGAATTTAGAATTATTGGCCTTTCAGAGCTAAAGGAAAAAGCTAGAAATAAGGGGAAGGTAAAAAGAGAGTAAACACAGATGGAATACTGTGATACCATCACATACTTAAAACCCAAACTAGACAAAGACATCAGAAGAAAAAGAAACATTAGATACACATTCCCACACAGGAAAATTTAATTCAACACTATGTAAGATTACATACCATGACCTAAGAAAATATATTCCAGCAATGCAATGTGGTTTTGATATTGGGAAATCAATTAATGTCATGTTATGATTATAATGATAGGCTAAGGAAAAGAGTTACATGATCATATCAATAGATACAGAAAAACATTTGCCGAAATCTAATAACCACTTATAACAAAAACTGTCAGCAAACTATAAAAACAGGGGTGCATCCTAAACTGGTAAAGAACATTCAAGAAACCTACGGGTAACCTCAAAATTAATGGTGAGCATTCTGAGCACTCTTGTCATAAGCAGAAGCTCAAGCAGCTCATTTTAAACACAGCTCTCACTGTGGTGATAGCAAAGGCTAGCCCAAGTGTCTGTCCCACGAATGCCCTGTAACACTCAAGGTCAGTGAGCCTCTGCACTGTGGTGGAAGCTCCCTATGGCTTTACCCCAGTCACATTAGAGTCCCTGAGAGTCCAGAGCCCTCGCTGAGACAAGGCAGCTCCTTGACACTGGACTTTGTAGCCTCCATCGTTGTGAGCAGACACATTTTCCTATTTGGTGTGGATCACGCAGCCCATGGCATTCTGTTAGAGCAAACCAACACACTGACCTCAGAGAGTCTTCCTCTGCTTGCTCCCCCTGGGATTGCCGACACTATTGGAGGAGATGAGTGACTTTTTTTGTGGTTTCTTATGCAGGAAGTTACCCCTGCCCTCACTCTCTTCCTGCTTTTCCTCTGGCTTTCCAGGCTCACGATCCCAAACCCCAGCTGGCTCAGCATGCTGATACTACTAGTTGAAAGGAAAGCAGCAGGCATCCATGGAGCACACCCAAACCAGGTGGCATCACTGCAGCCATGAGATCAGCATCGCAATTGAGTTGAGCCCAATTAAACCAATAAATTCAACTGATATAGAAAAAGAATCATAATTAATGGCTATTAACCTTAAATAATTAATTCAAAGTCACTTTAAAAGGATACATAATTTGAGGGGGGAGAAACAACTTAGTTGGTAAGGTGTTAGCTTCGTAATTGTGAGGTCCTGAGTTCAAATACGTAGAATGCAAGTTAAATGTCAATCATGCTTGTGCTTACATAATCCCAGCTCTGGAGAGGCAGAGTCCAGCGGATTCTTGGTGCTCAGTGCCCAGCCTGCCCGGCCTAGGTCCAGACTAATGAGAGACACTGTCTCAAACAAGAGGTGGAAAATGCCTGAGGAACAATACTTAAGGTTGTCTTCTGACCTCTACACACACACAGACACACAGACACACACACACACACACACACACACACTCAAAATATAATAAAGAATAAAATAAAAATTTAAAGATAAGTAAAATGTTCTCTCTGCTCTATATAATGACACATAGATGTTCAAACAAAATGAAACTAACTTTTTTAATGAATCAGTGGCACTTAGGGTTCCTGATAGCGATGACATGGCTTGGCTTTTAGAGGCTCCTGTCTGGGAAGAACGTGGGCAGGCGGCATGTCTGCTCAGAATCTGGCTGCTGGGCTACAGGGCTGGGCTATATGGGCTGTAGAAGCAATTTTCCCTCTGCTTTTTCACAAGCCAGAGGCTGGGCTGAACTTTATGGTCAATAGCAGGGGAAAAAAAAACCCAGCAACAATACATTCAGAGCAGAGAAACTAAATCATCACAGCCTGGGGTGGAGGTGGAGACAAAGAGAAAAAAAAATGGTGGAAATAAAACCTACCTAGTCATTGAAATATAAGATAACAAAAGAAGAATTTTAGAAGAGAGAGGGTTATAAGAAGGTTAGTGTCAGAAAGAGAAGGAGAATTTTGAGGGAAAAGAGGCGTGGGAGTATTCTGGAAACACAGCTTCCAAGGCTTCAGGAAATGAATGGGTTATGTTTTTCAGAAGAACCCCAAATTGCTCAATTACTCTTTGGAGTTAGTACAAGATTAAATTAGAGACATAAAGAGAAGGGAACACAGGAAAACGGCGAATGATTCCTCTATCATGGAAATAAACATCTACTTTCTTTAAAAAAGGAAACAGAAAAAGAGAAACAAAAAGCAAATACTTGAAGAGTTTTCACTTCAAAATATACTTAAAGCAATAAACTCCCTAATATTTATGAATATACAGTTACTCAAATTCATGAGAAGATACCAGAAACCAGCAACTAAATCCTGAAGAAATGATATGTTTTTATTTATTATGCTGCTGCATCCACTGGGTTTATTGCAGTAAGATAATGAGCATATTGCAATTGTTATTTTAATCACAATAATGATAGTAGACCCTTTTTAATGAAGAATGAGGTTGACGAAATAAAGGGAACAACCTACATTCTCTACATTATTGAGCATCAAGAATATCTTTTCATATCAGAAAAAAAAGTTAATGTTAAAATATTTTATATGACAGAGATAGTTCATATGGAATAATCATAATTTAACAGTCTACTTCCAAGTTGAAGAACATTGTCCCTGAAGAGCTGATCAGAAGACAGACCCTGGTACCAGGCTAATTATGTCAAATCCTCTCATTTATTTGGGGCTCTTAGACAAACTAGCTGTTCTTTGTGTCTATTTCCTCCAAAACTGGGGGGCTTTTAATAAGACCTGGTTCTATATAGGGCTGCCGAGAATATTAGAAGTATAAAATAAGGTGAATGCATAGAAAAGCAACTTGGAAGGCCAATGGGACAGGAAAGAACATTTTCACGGGCTCCCCAAGGCAAGAAGCTGCACTCTCACTTCATGTCCACCAGGAGTCCATGGTGGTACATGACACGTTCAATCTCTCTCCTATGCCCTGGTGGGTCCACAGAATCAGCCAGATAGTAGTCTGCCAGCCAGTGTTCCAGTAGAAGTCAACATGGAGCAGGAAGCAAGAGGTGAACCCTCTTGTAGCACCCTGGGAGCCATGATGGTGTCGAAGTAGGAGACAGTGCCCGGAGGACCCTGAAAATAGTGAGAGTGAGCGCAGTGCCCAGCCATCTGAGTAAGAAAATCCTTCAGGGAGACAACCCTAAGGCCAAAGGATCCTGATTTCACTCACAATCTTCAGGAAACCTCCATGAGACCCAGTTTACCAGAAGGAATGGACACCAAAAGTCCAAGCATTTAGCCTCAAAGAATTTGCATTAAGTTGAAAACCACAGTCCTGCTATTCTTTTTATTTATCTTTTCCAAAAAAAGAAATTTATTTATAACTTTGTAATTATTTGCCGGTGTGTATGTAAGCCCAGCGTATTTGGAGTCCTGGGCTTGAGCTCCACCACTGCAGCGGTAAAGTCAGCTCAGTCCCAAGCAAAAGGACCAGTCCTGGATGGAGCACAGTACCTGATTTCAAACTATACTACCAAGCCAGAGTGACAAACCAGCGCGGTGCTAGCCCTGAAACAGTCACCAGACTTACAGGATGGAATACAGGGCCCAGGACTACATTTACGTGGCTGTGCCCATCTGATTTTTGACAAAGTTTCCAAATATAGAGTAGTGAAAAGACAGACTCTTAAACAAATGGTGCCAGGAAGATGAGATAGCCACATACAGAACAATAAACTAAATTGCTCACTCTCTCCCACACCCTACATAACAATCAGTTCAAAATGGATCACGGATCTTAATGTAAGACCTGGAATTTTGAAACCACTGGAGGACAATGCAGGGAAATGCTAAAAGATAGAGGCATACATAAGAGCTTTTTGGATAGGTCTCTGAATAGCCCAGGAAACAATAACAAGAATTGACAAATGGGGCTGGATAAAATGAAATCACTCTCTACAGCAAAGGAACAAATCAGCAGACTTTAGACACAGCCCGCAAGACAGGAGAAAGTGTTTGCCAGCTTCTCCTCTCTAGACAAGAATAATATCTAGACTGTGTAACAAATGCAAAAAAAAACAACAGCCCATCAATAAGTAGGCAAATTAATTGAACAGACTATTCTAAAAAGAAGTACAAATGGCCAATAGATATATGAAAAAGGGGGGCCACATCTTTAGCCATCAGGGAAACACAAATCAAAACTAAATTACGATTCCATCTCACCCCAGTCAGGATGGCTATTACCAAGGAAACAAATGATCGCAAGAATAAAAAGAAAGAGGAGCCCTTATATGCTGTTGGTGGAAATGCAAATTAACGCTGCTATTGAGGAAATTAGTATAGAGGCTCCCCAAAAAGCTAAAACCAGAACTACATACCCAGCTATACCAATCCCGAGTGGCATACCACAGAGATAACCACACATCCATTTATCATTGCTGTAGCCACGGAGCTAAATTTTGGAATCAGCCGAGATGCCCATCAATGGATGGATGATGTTTGGAGCAATAAACAGAGCCGCTGGGGCCAGTCAGCAGCCAATCAGATCCAGAGCTTACTGGCCTTCATTGTTCCTCCCCTGCATGGACAGAGACAGACACACTCCTTGAATGACAGAACCATAAAGAGGTGATGGGCTAGCACTTGAGAGGGGGGGAAATGGCAGAGACGGAAATATTTTCTGGCCATGTACTGGAAGGTCTTGTCTTTGACTGGGTCATCTGAGGTGCCTTCATGTGTGAAGCACCATAATAATGACAAGATATCAATATGGTGGAAAGTATGGTGATCCTGGTGCCATGGGGCTGTAATTTCTAGCCAGTGGGGAGGCAGAAGCAGGGAGATGACATGCTCAGAGCCAACCTGGAGAACTTAGTGAGACCGTATCTTGGGATAAAGAGTAAGAAAAGGCTATGATGTAGCTTAGAGTGCCAGCCACATTCAGGAACTCAGGCTTCAGTCCTCAGTACTGCTAAAACAAAACACTGTGGAGAGCCGTCCAAAGACCTGCACTTGGCAGCTCTCAGACTCTATACTTACACTTGAAAGAACACTGAATTTTAGTGGAATTGATTTTTGTTTGTCTGATATTAGAAACTGGGTCTTTGCTCTATAGGGCAGGCAAGCTTTGAACTCAGGATACTTCTTTCTCAGCCCCCCAAATCCTGGGGCTACTGACATGTGCCACCATATCCAGCTTAACAGAGATTTTTTTAGACTCAAATTAAATATTGAGGCTGGAGAGTCTCTTTGATTTGGGGGGAGGGAATAATAGAGATCCATCAATTATCACCACTGACAATGTTTCCACAATCTTAGTTCCAGCTTAGATAAGAACAGCTAGATTTTTAGTGATTAACAACAGCTTTTACCTACCAACATGTTCTCTCCTTTATTAATCCCCCTATTCATTGCAATTTTTTTCATTGTGTGTTTCTTCTTGTTTACCTAATTTCAAAGCACATCAAAAATGGTATCTGTGGTGGTTTGAAAGAAAATGGCTTCCAAAGGGAGCAGCACTATTTGGAGGTGTGGCTTTGTGGAAGTAGGTGTGGTCTTGTTGGAGGAAGTGTGTCACTGTGAAGGGCTTTGAGGTCTCATATATGCTCAAATCACACCCAATGTCTGAGACCACTTCCTGTTGTCTGCGAAAGATGTAGAACTCTCAGCTACCTCTCCAGCACCATGTCTGCCTTCACGCCCCCATGTCCCACCATAACGATAATGGACTGAACCTCTGAACTGTAAGCCACCCACTAAATGTTTTCCTTTATAAAAGTTGCTAAGGTCATGGTGTCTCTTGACTGCAATAGAATACTAAGACAGCAATCATTAAAATATATCATTGGACTCTGGTTGTTTGTTATTTTTGTTAAACCTTTTCTGGAAAGAGATATGGACTTTGCTATTTTCATTCCCTAAGCACTTTATATTTCATAGCTAAGTGATGTTGCTCCAGAAAAATCTATCTCTAGTGCTCTCTCTGTGTATGTGTATACATGTTTGTAGTGTGAGCACATGCTGTGTGCACATATGTGTACATATGTGTAAAGACAAGAGATGAAATCAGGTGTCT